TATGATGCAATAAATCTACGATGCATCAAAACAAACAAAACTCAATTCTATTTTCCCTGAGTCAATCTTTCTGTGTGTGTGTGCATATATTGCAAGTCTGAATCTGTATTAAGGGAGCCTTTAGCTAGCATTGTATTCTCCACTGCCATACAGTAGTTTGTAAAGCAGCAGTTTATACTGCACTGGTGATGCAGAGGACGACAGTGCACTTTAGTCATTTTGTTGTATGTTTTCAAATAACAATCAAATGAAAACTATATTACAAATTTATAAATTATAAAATTGGTATCTAGCAATGTGTAAAACTTTTATAGCTGAGCATAACATGAGAAGGGCTACGAAGTACTGAGATAACTTTAAATGAACTAGTACACCTCTCTGGTGCAGGACAGAGCTGGAACAGTCTCAGCAGAAATATGAGATGAAAATATGAAAAAATCAACCTTCCTATAAGCATGTGTGTCAGTTGTTTCTCACCTATATCTAATGTTTTACCTACTCCTTATTCATAATTTACAACTCAGTTCTTTGTAGGAGCAAGAAGTGGTCATTACTTGAGTACAAAAGTGTTTAAGCATCGCAGGACTGACACTTGCAGTGAGTTTTCTTTGACCAAATATGTGCTTCCTTTCCTTTAATGCATTTGCTCCTGATGGTCTCTCTTTTAACTTTTTGTGCAGTGTTACAGTTTCTCAACCAGCCAACTGAGCAAGAAACAAGAAAACAAGACCACAGTCCAAATCAACAAGATATTTTTTTCCAGATCAGTTTAGACTTAAGACACAAAGCTGTGATTTGAATGGCCACTGAGAAAATATGTAATACAAACTGTATGGGAAATAGTACATTTAATGAGTAGATTCATTCCTAAGGCTATATTTTCTGTAGTTTGTTGTTATTTTTATTAGGAAGTTTTGCTTCTCAGATTTTCAAAGGCTTTCTAATATTACTTTGCATATTCATCACAGTAATTTGTAATAAATTAATTTTAGCATGCAAGTTATGGCTAAGTGGTATAAGTCACTAAAACAGAAGTTAGTTACAGGGTTTAATCTACACTTCCAAGTGCAAGTAGGGAAATTATGTCTACTATTTTTTACGCTCCCATCAAGATATCAGTAATGAGCAAGGGAGAATCTTGTTTAATTAATTGTTCAAATCTAGTTTATGTCGTTGCTTTTTGTAGTCTTTCTATTAGAATCATAGATGTTCCACGTTCCTTCTCTGAAACAGTTTGAATCCTGGCATTATAACTGATGTTTGATAGCAGTCAGAAATACAGTATGGCTGTAAAAACTCAAAGGCAGTTTTGCCCTCCTTGCTGCCCCCCACTATTCCAAGTAGAGTTCAGGTCCTCTTCCAGACAGTCTCACCTCTGCTCAAATAAACACTGTGTTATACAGGCCGGTCAGCACTAGATCTTCACTTTCACAGTAGCATGGACAAGTCACTGTTTAATGGCACCTAGATTCACATTTTCTGTCCTGATGCCTCTTTAGAAAGGACCATTCCTTGTTAGTTGAGAAACTCGCTCTTGCTGAACTACGTCATATTCCAGTAACTCTCCTGGTGACTTCTGCAGTACCTCTGGCTTAATACAAGTGCTGTGCACTGTGTGAAAGCATTGGAAGCTAGTGTATAAATGACTACATTTACCAGATTAATACCAAACTGATGTTAGCAATCTTTACAGTAATTCTAAAGGACTGTTCAGCTCAGGGATATTCATGCCCCTTTTAATCATTGTTATTGTATCACTTCTCACACAGCACAAGAAGCCAGCTGACACTGCTAGTGCTTTGCAAGAACAATTTTATTTATATCCATGCTAACAAATATGTGCACATTCACATACACATCAAAATAATTTGGTGTTAAAATGATTTTCTGACTTGTGTTTTTTCTGACCAATCTTGACAGTTTTCAATTTTAGGTATCTAGTGCAGCATAGAAACATTGCTGTTCCACTACTTGGGCACTTATAAGAAGAAAAATAAAAGTAGTCAGTGTCCAACATTTCACATCTAGGCATTGCTCTGTACTGTTCTCATGTGATTTTGCTGACAATTTGTTAGAACCAATGGCTGTGCAAAAATAACAAATAAAACCTGCATGTAAACAGTATGCAGGGTATAGCTCTAAATCTGTCTGAACCTTTGCTGGTCAGCAAGCTCTATTAGATGTAATAAGCATTAAATACTCACTGCATGTTTGATAAGTTTAATCAAATATTAGTTCCAATTAAACGCCACACTGATATATGCAAATCTTAAAGTATTATCTGTACATTTTTAAAACCTGTTCTCAAACACAGGATTTTGGTGCACATAACTTTGGAGTTTTGTTTGGTTCATTTTCACTAAAAGAGTGTTTCAGTCAAGAGGGTGGGCTGCACAATGCGGTGCACGTGTTTGAGTGATGGGACGATGGGGAAACTCTATGCAGTTTGTTACAAACATCATGAAACATGGAAGGAAGTGCTTCCTAGAACTTTTCTGTGCACAATTATAGGGATGTACTGTGCAGGTGTGATGAAACTAATTATATTAAATTACTGCAAAGGTAATATGCTACTGTGCAGTAATGGGACATTTATTCTGAAATTATTGAAATCATGGTTTATTGTTTTCAGTGGTGCTTGAATGGTTTTCTCCAATGAATTTCTCAAGAGTATAATCTTTTTATATTGAATTGGGAAAATACTCTACGCAGTATTAATCTGTGTAACTTCCATCAGATTCTGCAAAGACTGAAACTTTTGCACATACTGACTATAGCAACACTTTTGTTCACACGCATAACACGGAACATGTTAGTGTTCAGTTCCATAGGTCTGTAAGAATTTCAATGTCCAAGACAAGTGACACATATTGCAATTAAGTTCCCTTACATCTGAACTGTTTGATGAATTTTAAGAACGAAAAAATTTGCTTCTGAATGATGTCTATAAAGAAACACTATCTAAAATCAACATTCATAACTGTCAGTCCATGACTTTCCAAAACTAACACTGAAGTTTCTTCCACAACAGGAGGAGAAAGGTATTTTGATTATTAGAATTAGAACATCTTCATGCTGATCCATTGAAAATATTTTTGTAAAGCATTTAGAATTTTCCCCTTCAACTATATTTACATAATGTTTCTTCTCTGTCTGCTATTCTTCTTTAAAATATGATGTAAAGAAGGTGTTAGAGGAAACCATCTTGCCAATTAGATGATCATGAGCAGAAAACAACCCTTTTCTGAGCTGAAACTTTAATTTCTACTATAAAGAGTTTCTTTTAAAGCTTTTGAAATAATTTTGGCAAAATTCCTTGAAGGTTACGTCAATCTGTAAGATGAGTGAAAAGAAGGAAGTGTGTTGAAATAACTATCAGGGATTATTTTGGTGGAAGTTTTATGGCAAAATGAGACTGTGTTTGTGTAACCTGAATGCTTAATAATGAGAAAGAAGGAATAATCACACAGAGCCATAGAAGCACAGGTCTAGCCACCTCAGCTGAAGTCCTCAGCATTGTTCAGCTGAAGTGCTTTCTTGAAATCCTCTAAAACCTCATTTTCCATTGCTATATTCACATAGTAATCTTACTATGAATTACATAGAATTCTTACAAAATCAGAGAAGCCTTAAGCTTTTCCTACTTCTGATAATGAAGTATTTCTCCTAGTGGGCTCACCAAGTTTTCTTTCACTGTCTACTCAATTTTCATCCATTTTACATATATCTTTAGAGAAATTCTTCACAAAGTTCTCTTAATGTGATGAAAGTTACCATAAAACCCAGCAACTTTAGTTTTGCTGGCCATCAATTTTGGCCTTTTGTTTTCCTTGAAAGTAAAATCCTACCCCAGTAGCTATAAAGTTCAATTGTTCTTAAACAGAAAAACCAGAAAGAAAAATGAGTAAAGCCACGTTTTAGTACAGCAATGTCCAGGGAAAAGAACTGAGATAAGAAGGAAGGTAAATTTGAATGAGGAGACTGTATGAATACAGCATTAATAAATTAAAAGTAGTGGGTTCTAACTTCTGTGATGTATATATGACAACATGGCTTGTGCAGCTGTGAGGAAAAGTCTATTACCATTTAAAAGGCCAGGTACTTTGCAATGCAGTGCTACTTTCTCCTTCAAACTGTTAAATGCACAGTCCACAATTTTTTGCAAGAATGCCTAGTTCAGCGTAATGCTTGGCACTGCAGCTTTACTCACTCCCCCCCCATCCACTTTCTGCCCATCCGTATATAAACTCCTTCTTCCTCTGCTATAAATTTTTGGCTCTTTACATTCATGTTTACATTGCACACATGCAACATGCAGAGGTTATCTTCAAACACAACATGTGCCAGCCTGTGGGGGTAAAAGCTATTGTAAACATTCATCCAATCTAAGTGCCTGTGTGATTTGCAAACACTTTATTACATCCCATTGCTTGTTCCATCAGCATTAAAAGCATCTCAGAAACCTGGAAATGTGGGCAGCACCCCACTGCCTGCCCTGGGAGGGTTGCAGAGATCTGCATCCCTGTCCTTGGTCCTAAATCCTCGCGCTGGCTCCTTGCAGATGGAGCAAACTACAGTGCTTCTGAGCCCAGAGCCGGGGCACAGCCATGATGCGGCTGCTTCGGTGGAAACAAACATGAAGGCACAGACAATCTGCCCACAAAACACAGCTGTATTGTAACTCCTTGCACTCTAGCAAACAATAATTCAGAGACAGACGGCTTCATTAATATGGCATCAAATTCCATGAAACACCCGGCATGTACCATCGCTCACACACCCGCTGCTTACCCTCCCCATCCATTTCAGAGCAGCCACAATTGTAACAGAAATAAAACATTCTAAGATCTAGTCTTCTAGGAGACAGATGAATGCAATGCCGTTATACAAACCTCCGGCATTCTCACTATGGCTCTGCAAATTTGCAAACAGCATCTTCACCCCCCAGCTCTCCCTCCCCCCCCCCCCCCCAACAAACAGAATCAGAAAGCACATCTTACCACTGGATGAGAGAGATGAACACAAGTGCCCACACCATCATTTTGAGAGAAAATGCAGGATTCAAGAGTGCAGTGCTCCCCAGGCTTGTTGGATTTGAAGGAATCATCTCTTTCTCTCTCCCCCCCAACCCTGTTTTTTCCCCTTTCCTCTTGGTTGCAGATGGATCCGTCCCCTGCTTTAATTTTTTTTTTTTTTTTTTTGGTAGTGGTTCTCCCCCCTCCCTACCAGGTCCCGTCAGTGGGATGATACATTGCTCCCAGCTGCGGGAATTAATATGCAGGGGGGCAGAAATTAGATCTGCACAAGCCCTTTGCAGATATAATCAAAAAACGTCAGCTCAGGCAGCAGGCAGCAGCTTCTCGATCCAGGGGAATAATATAATCGGGAGAAAAGAACAGAAAAAACACACACACACATAGGCACTCACAGAATAAAAACAGTCAAAGGAAGGACAAACACATACACATGCACATATCTACAGAACTACTCACATACATGCAAAAAAAAAAAAAAAAAAAATCTGAAACAGCAATGGAAAGAGTAAATGAGAGGAAAAAAAAAGAAATGAAAGAATAAAGCAATGGAGCTTCTGCCTGAATGCAGATTAACTCCGAGGTCAAAGTGGAAATGATGCACTCTGCTGCAGCACAGATTAACACATGCGTGGTGTCAGCCGTGGTGCTTTTTAACCTTTGATTACACATATGCAGGCAGCCGGGATTTTCGTTTTGAAGGCGAGAAGGATTTGGCAGGCATAAAAAGGGAGGTTGGAAGGAAAAGCTTGCCCTGTGCTGCTGAGCATCCTCATTTTTCTAAACAGCTTGAAAATCGTGATTGCAAAGCGAAAAAATAAAAGGATGGATGGGGGAGTGGAAAGGGGAGGGATGGTTGTTGCTAAGTAACTCAGGAAATAAGGAAAGCAGCATTGGTGGAGTCAGTATGAATGAGGTGATTTAGTGTGTGATAGGATTAGGGAGAAATGCAAGGTTTTCATCTCCCCTCCCCCTAATAAAATCAGGTTAGACTAACACAGGAAATACTTCCCAGACAGAGGGGAAACATTCGATGCCCATAAAAGCTGCATATTGCCAAATTTTGGAATCCCAAGTTCCACTGTTCAAACCTGTAATCTAGCTGCTTTTTTGGCAGTAAAACAAATGGAATCTCATGATTTCCCAGAGGCAGGGCACTTCTTGCTAACACAGTCACTTGGACCACTAACAAATTGTTGACCCTCAATTTTTTTTATGCCTAAAAGCAAAACAAACATAGACAGCACTAAGCTTCCTCAAACCTGCTTAGGAGCTGGGAGACTGATGTGCAAACATAACAAGCAGGAAGCGATAAGTGTAACCTGATGCGATCTCACTTCCAAGCCCATCCCTCTAGAAGAGAGAAAAAAAAGAATTGTTTTAAGGAGCACTCAACAGAAAGCAAGTAAAATGCTTCAGATAGGATAAAGACATCAGCATTTACTTCAGTACCAAATTTGATGACTGAATCCTACTAAAACCTGCCAATATTTGGGCTGATGTGGCAACTCCAATGACCAAATGCAGAATGTATTTTATCCATGAAAAACAGACAGTAATTGTTCTGCTGACAGCTCAAAAAACATAGATCCAGCACTCAGCCATCAAGCTATGTATTTTTGTTTTTCATTTCCAAATACTGCATATGTAACTATAATAGGAGATAGATCAATGTCATCAAATGAATGAAACACATCTGGGAACTAGATACTATCTTCCATGATCATTCATGCCCATATCTAACATTGTCTCTGTATGTTCATCAGTATTTCCAAGCAAAGTACCAAGTTAGGAGCTTGATTCTTAATATTTCCAATCACTGATCTTATTTTTCATTGTCACTTCACCAATCTGTGAAATATTCACAGATAAAAAGCTATGATATATTCCAAATGCTCTCCCTGTATTCCTCTATCAATATATGTGTGTAAATATATGTGTATGATGTATGCATATTCAAACATTAACATTTGCTCATCATTCATTTTATTACTTGTCAGCATGACACTTTTGTGGTTTTACTACTGCAGTCTCTCTCATTAGTAACCCAAACATACCTTTGAAGGTTAACAATAGTGTGTATGTTTTGATGTGGGAGTCAGCGTTGTTTATAGTTGATCTAAGCATCTGAACTCTGCTCATGTTATCATTTTCACTACACTGTGTCTGCTGTAACATAGGGAGTACCAACTTTACACTACAGATTATTTACTGAAATTTGTCCCATAGCAAAATCTTTCATAACCTTTTTGTCTGAAAATAATTCCTCAACTCCCTGCAAAATTATTCTGCATGTTTACTCCGGAGGTGCAGCTCATTATGCTCTGCTGGAGAGGCTAAGGGTCTGCAAATGGAGAAAAAAAACTCCTGGTGTCAAGTCTTAAGGTTTTATGGGGTTTTTGTGTGTGTGCAGGATTTTTTTATTTGTTTGTTTTCTCCTTGCACTTCCCATCACAGATAGGGTATCTCAAAAGGAGTTATAAAGTGTTATATTAATCCTCTACCACTTGGAATTCATTAAGATGTACAAAGATATAGTCCATCAATAATATTATTCTGATAGGTGTGATGTTAACTGTACCTTTTATTTATATTGTTGATCGGCTGTCATTGCATTTTGATGAGTAAGTGTGTCCTAAAAATTGTATACATTGTTCTGCATATTAAAAGCAGCATCATTTTATGACACATGATGATTTTCAGACTTGTGCAGTTGACTATGGACATCAACTTAGGTAGTGGGAATTAAGGATTTAGCCTCTGGCACAGTCAGTGGACCACAAATCACATTTCTCAGAGCTCCGAGAGAGTAGATATCAGAGCTGACATCATTTCAGTACCTGAATATTTGACCATGATTCATAAAACATACCCACTGTTAATGTTGGTTGTAATTAGTCTTGAATGCAAAATCATCCTACAGTTCGTAGCCTGTCTTAGAGAAAGGGATAGCAAAACCAGGTTTTACACAGTGCATTTAAATATTGTAATTATATTATAATTCTGGATATGATGACAACCTTTGTGGGGAAAAACATTGTTTTGCAGCAGATATAACTGCTCCAGCAAACAAAAATCTAGTAGACTGTTTTCTATTCAAGTACATTGCCTTTGAAGCTCAGGTTTCTGCATTTTATATCTGCAAGCTTAAATCGTACAGCAATCTTCCAGAACTGCATCATAATAAATTATCACAAAGGACCAAATTTACATGAGGATGCTGCCTGGTGTCAAATGTTTATCTGGCACTTTGTGTGTGATAAATCAATCCCACATATTAACTTGTCCCTGAGCACAGACGTGATATCTTCACAACAAATGACTTAAAGGTTTTGTATAGAAAAAGATGTCTTATGAAAAATAACTGAACACAAATGTGATTGTTCCAAAGCATACTTTCTGTATCAGACCAGAATAATACAGCAGCATCCTACTATCCTTTAGCAGACATTTTGTTCATTTACGTATAGGTTTCCAGATCCCATTGATTTCCAAGGTGTCTTTAAGCCCAAAGAAAACCTGGCTCTTCCTTACTATTGAAATTATTTTTTCTGTGTATCAAATACTGTATCATACATTACCAGAGAAGAGAAAAGGATCCAATTTGAAATAAAAACAAAGTATTGAACTCAGGTCAGGCCCTCCATTCATTCCCTGCAGCCAGAGCAATTTCTTCCACAGCTGACAGCACCCCTTTGGATTCCGGAAAGAAATAATGGGAGAGAAGGAAGGGGTAAAGTGAAAATATACACACTGCCAATGTCAAGAGATTGCCATGTTATCACCAGAAAAGACTGCATTTATCTTTTCCCTATCTGGAAGTCCTTTCTGTATCAGCTTGTCATTTCTCATGACATTTTAGAAAAGAATAACAATCAGACAAACAAACAAAAACCTCCACAACAAAATATTCGTGAAGCTCATTTGCTACTTTTCAAGTGGCATAAAACTGGGATAAGAGGTAACATTGGTTTATATGGGTCATGATAAAGATGTTTCTTAAAGTCAAAAAAAAGAAGGGAAACATTGTCTTGGCACCTAAGCTGTCTAGTGATGATTTAGCAGACATTGATAACTACATATCAACTAATCTTTTGATCCTTAGAAAAACAGATGAAATGTTTAAAGTTATTTTTGTTTTCAGAAATATTTTTATTTAAGATATTTCATCAGGTTTCTATTCCAAGCTATCGATTTCTGAGCATCTGACTTACAATTCTGGTAGCCTAAATGCTGCCATAACACAATCCCAAAATACTGGCTTTGTTTATATGCTTTGATCTTCTGTTAGAACAGAAATATGTTTTTAACTACAAGCTCACTTACTGTACTTAGATCTTCGAGTTTCTGCCAGCAAAAGCCATACCAAAGGGTACTTTTTACTATAAACATCTACTATTCTTTGATCACCAAACCCTTTCAGCAAACTGTGTTCCACATATCCCAGACACTGGCCTTGAGAAAGCTGTCTTCCCTTGCTGTAATGTTCAAAGAACCTGCTCCATTACACTAACTCTTCTTGGAAAAAAATCACCATATCAAGATATGTTCTAGGGAGCACAATAATGGTTCTTTTCTAAACAGTATCATTAATGCCTAGGAGATATCTCAACTCCACAAGTGTTTCAGAAAAGTACTATTTTTAGGAGCCATATATAGATATATATTTATATATGTGTTCATCTTTAGCAAGGTTTCTTATACATAGTATTTTGAGTATGTTTGTATTGGACAAGCTTACGTCAAGAAACTGTGTTCGAACTACAGCTTCCTCAACATACCTTGTGCTAAATCTCTAAGTTAAAGACCAATGTGTTTTGAGACCACCTCAGGAAGGCAGTTCCTGCTTATGCTAGTCAGGTACTGAAACGAGGGGGAAAGGAATAAACTAGAGTTGTCTTCATTCTCTCATTCCTGAAAGAACAGCAGACAGGTAATGTCACTGCTGTCTCTGGGATCATGCTGGAACTTTTATCTGGAGTTATGAGGGAACTCTATGTTGGAGGGCTGCTCCAAAAATAATGCCTTCTATTTTGTTATGATGGCCCACAACATCAGAAGCAGATATTGGTGGGATGGCGAGAGAGGCTGAACCTTCCCAGCAATATTCCATTACATGTTGTTGCTTCAGAAGGGCAGTCTGACAAAACGTCATCTGACATGGAAGTGTGTATGGAGCAGAAGTGGGACAGTGAATTCTTCCAGAAAAAAATGCACCTGCTGACATTCATTGATTCTTATTGAATGTGACCAGACAGCGAATGTGAGCATGGTGAGGCAATGGGTGGTGCCTTTCAGCATTGATCACATAGATACGAAAGACATGCCATATTCCAGACAGCCATGCACAGCTGCCCCACCAAAAATGAAGAGCATCTTGATAAGGTTATCCATGCAAATCTGCAGATTATAATCAGGGAACTGCATACAGAGCTGAGTATCAGCTTCAGTGCATTGGAAATGATGGTAGTAATGTTGGAATATCTCAAAGTTTGCACCAAGTGGGTCCCACAGATGCTTACAGAGGAAGAGAAAGAACACCACGTGCAAGTTTGTCAGGACCTATTGAACCAATATAAGGCCGAAGCTGACAGTTTTCTGGATTGCATCATTACTGTTGATGAGATGTGGTGTCACTGCTGTGAGCCAGAATCAAAACGGTAGTCCACTGAGTGGTGAGATGTGAATTCCGCACTGAAGAAAAAGTTCAAGATGGAGCTCTCAGCATCTTGTGATTTACTGTTTTTTGGGATAGAAAAGGGGTTATCCTTCTGGATCTCCTGGAACCCAGACAAACCATCAACTCTGACCACTACATTGAAATG